CGAACAAAATTCCGTGTCTGCTACATGTACCAGACTACAGTAGCAACACGGATACACTGAGGAAACTGATCACGAGGCAGAACCGCCACCTCAACATCTGATCCTGGACCCTGACACACGAACGAAGAACTCAGGCCCGAAGCGTGTCCCCCCCCCCTTCTGGGGCCAGAGTTTGAGATCTCTAAATAAGAACATGATCGGGGTAACTACCTGATGGGGAACATCTATATCCGCATCCTGGATAGAGATGAACCCTCACAGGTGGCCAACGCCCCACCAACTGCTGCCAGCACATCGGGGGTGGCGTCGTCGGGGCCGGGGCAGCCCACGTCTTTGGGGGATTCGTCACCGGGACACACTTCCCTATGGAGGTAGCTAGACAACCACCGTCACCGGTGCAACTAACTTCGGATGAAGAGTTGTTTCAGGAGACCGGGGGGAGTGAATTCAGCGACAGCTGTCTGCGCTCCTCCCCATCGCCGAACTGACCTCATCCAGGCCAACCTCCAGCACAGTCAGACAGCGTCGGCTTCCCTACGCAGACTGCTGGAAACCAACCCGAAGACCATCGCCGCGATCCAGGAGCCGTGGATCAGGAATGGCAAGATATGTGGCCTGGGCAGCACCGGTGGTAAACTTTTACTGGATACCTCCGTAAGTAACCCTAGAACTTGCATAATCTTGCCTAAACATGTACCAGCACTTCTAATAAACGAACTCTGTTCAAGGGACCTTACAGCTATTAGGTTACCCAGAAACGATCAACCAGACGTCGTCCTGGCGTCCGCCTACTTACCAGGTGACGAGGACGTGCCCACTCCAGAACTCGGCCTTCTGGCTGACTACTGTGAGAGGGAGAAACTGGAGCTAATCATCGCGGCGGACTCCAATGCGCACCATACGTTATGGGGTAACGCTAATACCAACACTCGAGGTGAGGATATGCTTAATTTTATACTTAGCAATAACCTTATCTTGGCAAACAATGGCTCAAAACCAACTTTTATCAACGCGCGCTCGCAAACTATTATTGATTTAACAATGGTAACTGCTGGTCTGTCAGATCACATACAGGACTGGCACGTATCCAGCGAGTTATCATGCTCGGATCATAGGTGGATCCCGCTTTGCAATCAAAGGGGAGCTACCTAAACCTCAACCTAGACGCATACCGCGGAGAACCGATTCGGTAAAATTCTATAGACTTATTAGCTCCGAGGTTGACAAACTAACGATACCAACCACCATAAATATACAAGATATAGACAAACATGTAAACAACCTAACGTCCCTACTCCTGACAAGCTATGAACGTGCCCCTTCTATACCGAGATGGGGAGACATAACTGGTGGTGCCCCGAACTGGAGAGACACCGACGGAAGGTCAGGAAGCCGTTCAATAGAGCAGTGAACACATGGTTACCCACCGACTGGGACAAGTACACGGTCGCGAGAAGGTGATTCAAAAAACTTTTACGTACTAGGAAGCTAGAGTGTTGGAGACACTTCTGCACCAGTATTGAAAACAACAACCAGGCAACCAGGGTGAAATGATGCCTCTCCAGAGAGCCCAATCACTCGATCGGTTGTCTTAAAAAACCTGACAACTCATTTACAAAAACTGATTCAGAAACATGTGAGCTACTACTGGCAACGCACTTTTCGGGTTGCATAATAGCCAACGAACAAGCCTGGCAACCATACTCAGAGAGAGCCACCGACAGTTCAGACTGGCAAGTAGCTCACAAAATAATCACTAATGAAAAAGTAACGTGGGCAATCAACTCCTTCCTACCATTCAAAGCGGCTGGTTTGGACGGCATCTTCCCAGGCCTACTAAGATGGAGTGGGAACTTAATAGTAGACTATCTTGTCTCTGTCTTCCGAGCCTGTATAGCCCACCGGTACATACCCTTGAAATGGAGAGAAGTAAAAATCATATTCATCCCAAAACCAGGTAAAGAGGACTATACCCAAGCGAAGTCCTTCAGGCCCATTAGCCTTACTTCATTCTTCTTAAAAACGATGGAGAGGCTGGGAGACCTGGAGATACGCAGCCGGGTATCGCTATCCAAATTCCTACACCCTAATCAATATGCCTATAGCTCGGGCAAATCAACGGACTCATCACTCCACAACGTCGTGTCTCGCATTGGCAACTCCTTGAAGTTAAAGCAGTCAACCCTTGGTGCATTCATTGACATCGAGGGCGCTTTTGACAAAACAAACTTCACGAGCATAACCAGAGCACTAAGGACATGTGGAGTACCATTAACCCTTATAGAATGGATAAACAACATGCTAAAACAACGAGCTATACAGTTTACGGTAAACTCCACAACACGAGGCATTGTCAGCAGAGGATGTCCACAGGGAGGTGTTCTATCGCCGCTACTGTGGAATGAACTTATAGTTCATGAACTTGTAGTTAATGAACTTATTACAGAACTCAACGCTGACAATCTCTACACTGTGGGTTATGCTGATGACATAGCTATCTTGATATCTGGGAACTTTGAAAGCACCTTATGTGACCTCATGAGAAGAGCTTTCAAAGTGATTGAGAGATGGTGCAATGAGCACGAGTTATCTGTCAACCCAACAAAAACAGAACTTATACTTTTTACCAACCGAAGAGTTCTTGGACCGTACAGACTTCCGAAACTCTTCAACACTGAACTCAGACTCAAGAATGAAATCAAGTACCTAGGTGTGATTCTGGACAGTAAACTGCTCTGGAACAAACATCTAGAACACAAACTAAACAAAGCAACGATCGCCTTTTATCAATGCAAAAAGATGCTAGGCGTGAAATGGGGCTTATCGCCTAAGATAACATTATGGATATACACTGCCATAATCAGGCCAATGCTAGCCTACGGAGCCCTTGTTTGGTGGCCCAGAACAGAACTCCAAACGGCAATTACCAAACTTGGACGCTTCCAAAGGCTTGCTTTGTCCGCTGCTAGCGGTTGCATGAAAACAACACCAACTGCAGCAATGGAGATGGCCCTGCAGATCTTACCCCTGGACCTACACATACAGCAGGAGGCAGCCCTGGCTGCTATCAGGCTTATGGTACTGGATCTATGGGGAAAAAATCACTATAGTGCACACACAGCGATTCTCAACAGGGCAATAGAGTATCAACCTCTTATTGCTGCGCCCTGTGATAGAATCACTAACCAATTAATATTTAACAGGAAATATCACATACAACTGAGAGAAGAGGAACATGATCGGTCGACCGTGAATGAGCTACGTATATATACAGATGGATCCAAAACAGGGTCTGGCTCAGGCGCTGGCATATTCTCTCTTGATCTCAACATCAACATACACCTACCTTTGGGCACACAGAGCACGATATTTCAATGTGAATGTGTCGCCTTAACCAAAGCAGCCAGAGCCGTGCAACGGCTAGGGATTAATGACTTTTGCATTAAATTCGTATCCGACAGTGCATCCGTGCTGATGGCGCTCGGAAACAAAAAAACCAACAGCAAACTAATACTGGAGTGTCATGAAGCACTGGAGGTCATAACCCGAACCAATAGTGTACGTCCACACTGCGAGTCTAGCGCGGTCGCGACGACGGGCGCGAAGTATCAAACATATGAAACGCGCCTTTACGTCCACATTGTAGTGACTGAGGCGGAAGCCTAGCGCGACGGGACTGAGCGAGCCAGCGCGCGTAGTTTTCAAACGCTCCTGTCCGCGCGTTCTGGCCTCACTACGGGCCTAGTCAGCGAGCGACCCAATGCGCGGGTGGCGGGGGTAACAAACCAGTTCGGTCTTGTCGCTCGGCCTATGCGCGTCTATATTGGTGATTTTAGGTGATATTTTACTTAGTATGTAGTCAAATGTTGACAAGGGCATTCGAGTGTACTCAAAGAATTTTGTAGGGTATAATCTCAGTTCTTGATATAAGTTAAAAAATTCACCAGTTATTCCTCTGTTTTTATTTATTTCGTGCACACCATCTCTAGTGTTCAACACCTCCCATCTCAGGATTGGACTGTCTAGTAAAACAAGCAAATCCTCGTCCATAGTTTGCGACACCTGATATACGTCAAACCGCTACAAGAGCTCGCGCGTTACTGTGGCCACCGCACGCCCCCGCTCGCCGCGCCCGCCTCAGGCTCAAGTCACCGCGCATTCAGTGTGGACGCACACATAGGGTTACCTTGCAGTGGATAAAGGGACACAGTGGATCTCTCGGCAATGATGCTGCAGACGAGCTTGCGAGAAGAGGCTCCGGAATGATGCCTGCTGGCCCGTATCCGCTCCTCCCTTTGCCCTTCTCGCTGGTGCGAACCTGGATTCGCCAGAGATCCGCTGAACTCCAGCAACAACGATGGTCGCATGGTGCGGCCTGCAGACAGTCCAAAGTGGCTCTGCCAGCAGTAAACCCGCAACTGACAAAGCGACTACTAAGCTTAAATAGAACCAACCTTAAAACAATGATAGGGACAATAACGGGTCATTGCCTCCTAAATAAACATCTCTTTGTCCTAGGCGCGACAGACAGCCCCCTGTGCAGAGGCTGTTTCAGCGCAGAGGAAACAGTCACCCACGTAGTCCTGGAATGCGTGGCTGTGGCTAATCAACGTGAAAAAATCCTCGGAACGGTGAGGTCGCTCCGGGAAGCCTGTGAAGTGCCCAGGAGACTTCTGTGCTTCTGGAAGGAGCTAGGCTGGCTAAATTAGCCAGGACTCGTACGCACAACGGACCATTTACGAGTCTAATTGCGGAGAAAGGAGTCCTACTACCCTAACCCTAACCCTTCAGGTAGTAACAAAAATAATGCTAGTTTTCTTAAGCATCAACCTCAAATAGTCCTAAAGAGTTGATGTGCTTAACCGATTATATACTGTACCTGACTGTTCTGTTCTGACATGGATATATGTTAAAGAGATAACCGTTGACAGCAGACATTGTATTTGTGAGAGTGTTGACATTGACAACTGAATAGTTATAGTCTGCCTAAAATCCAATACCTAAACGATGGATTCCCTCTGGATGTCAACAAATGTTTCAAACATTGGTATTTTTATGCCGTTCGGTTCTTCGGCGTCTTCAGCGTCTTCTGGTTCGGTCTTGACAAATACTTCTTCAATTTGCATGGGATCTTTGGAACATCCAGGCAATTGGGTTATGGAACGTAATTCCCTGCATTTCTTTTTCGCCTGCGCGTGAGTCATGTTCAGATGTTTTGTGAAATAGTGAATGCGGACATAAGATTGAGTTTTGAACTTCTTTCCACACTCATTACAACCATATAGCTCTTCTTCTTTTGTTGGTGATTGAGGATTCTGAAAGAGTTTTTGAGCTTGTGTTTATCTATTTCGTACTGCTATTTATTACTTCACATCTAATAACATTCTAAGTGTGTGTGTGTATGTGAGTATGTATGCTTAATGCTTATATAAAACATTATGAAGGTTTTAAAGTACCCCCAATTTATAAGTTTATATATTATGATCGGCCAATTTTTTTACTATTATAAAAAGCTTATTTTTAAGAAATATGGACTTTGCACGTCAGATAATAATACTAATAATATTCATAATATTTGTGTATAAAATTGAACTCGGTGAAATACCATACCATATCCTCCACCATGATAAGTTTCCTCTTATTCTGCCTTCGTATTTGTGCACGCGTCATGTGCAAGTGCGCGACCTGATAGTGCACCTTGACATAAGACTGCGTCTTGAACTCTCTTCCACACTCGGTACACGGGAACATCTCACCTGCGTGAGACTTTATGTGCCGAGTTAGAACTTGCTGATTCTGGAATTAAATTTCCTATGTTTACTCCATATGTAAGATCGAAACTTATTTTGTTTCTAATTAAGTCTCCACTGCGTAAATATTTGTTTTCTTATTCACGTCTGTCGTTCCACAACAGAGCGCTTTTTAAGACATTTTTTGACGCAGATTTATTCCATTATTACGTTAAAATTTCCTGTGTACATTCTAATAAGACCCACTTCAGGACTCAAATCATCTTAAACATTGCCTGTCAAACTTCGTTAATTTTTTGATAGCTCTTAAACTAGAAAACTTATATTTGCATAAACAATATACCAGTTCTATAGTTTAGTAGTTGATACATTTATGTAAAATGCAATATGAAAACCAAATTATTATTAAAAGCATTTTTTCATATTACGATTCCTTAAAATATACTATTTATTTGGTCGTCTTTTTGATCATGGAGTTTGGATCTTTGATATCAAGCAAAATTCCAGTTACATCTTTAAAAACTATTCGACCAATCATACATAGACGAAACTACCCTCACTCGATTATATTTTCATAATAAAGCTTAGTCACATTTATAATGCATTATGATAGTTAATGTATGTATTAGATTAAATAATTTTTTTCATTTTTCCATTGAGTGCACTGACAAAAGGTCTTCAATTGGTCAGTACCAATATTGCAGTTTTAATTTTTGAACATTGTAGGTAATTTTTTTCTTTGTAAATATTTCAAAGCTTGTATTTCTATTTAATTTTCTTTATTAATTCTTCTTTAGGATTACCTGTAAAGATCTTGATGTTAAAAAACATATAATTCTACTAACCGCAAACGCCTTCTGACAATGCGGACAATGTTTGTCCCGAGGTGGGACGGCTCCCAAATGGCGTGTGGCGATGTGGTCTCGCAGACGCACTGGGGTCCTAAACACTCTACCACAGGTACAGGCATGACCGCCTGCGTGTTGTAAGTGGGTCCATTTAATGTGCGATCGTACTTCGCCCTTTGAATAGTACAGACGCTTGCAATGATCACATTGATACCTGGAAAGTTTGGATAGAAATTATTTTTTCTGGAACTGTTTATGCAGATTTTATTTATATTTGAAATCGCATCATGTTTGATAAACTCTAGTTGTTTAATATATATGTTGTTTTTCATATCAAAATTAAATTTTGTTACAATACACAAGCGACAATTTTCGAAAAAAATTTCCATTTATTAAACTAAACAATCTAGTAGTTTGAAAATTGAGGTTTAGTTCTTGCCACCATCAACAGTGCATTCTCTGAACATGCTTGTGCCTTACTACACACTGACGATTGCAGTAATACAGCGGTAGTCTTCGGCAGGACTTGAAATTGCATTTGATAAATATAGACGACATCACACACTTTTATTCAGAAATCAGAAATGTAATATAAGAAAAATCTCATGCTTTTTTCCCAATCGTGATCACGGGTGTGATCGATTCTTTTACGTTATGAATGCGGGCCGTGGGATTTTTTTGCAATTTCGGTTATCTGTTTCATATTATTTTCAACTTTCGCATGTACTGAACAGCAAGACAGCATTTAATGGTACCATCGTTTAGGTACAAGAGATAATCAAGTTTAACATTTCTAACGTTTAGCCCAAAACATAAAACACGATACGACGAGTTCAGTCTGGGAGGGGGGAACTTAATAATCATCCACAACATCTGCGTGACGTAATTTATCTGAAAGCTTACAATAATAACTTCAGTAAAATCAGACTTTCTACTTCCATCATCAACGTTCATTCTCTGGCAAACATCGTTTTGCATCTACGCGGATAATCAAAAAGGCTGCTTGCAGGGGTGTACATTAGCGGCTGTCTTCGTTTTTAATAATGACATGAAACTAGAAATTGATAAAATATTAGACGACATCACTTAACACTTTTGGGATTCAGAAAAATAGATGTTGTACGATTCTCAGATAACCCAATATGCATACAAATTTCCTGAAATCGTGATCACGTGGTGGAGTTTAACTACAAACACCGCGACACGAGAATTTTATATATCAGATAATAACTGCATACTTTTTGGAATTTTGTCTAAAACAAACGTTTATTATAAAAAGTTTGAATCTTACACTTACACAGTAAAATTGACCGCATGCGCGGCTTTATAGTGCTCCTCCAGCAGATGTGAATTCCTAAAACTTTCCGAACACTCCAAACAGACAACTTCACATGATTCGTGCGTCAACATGTGTGTCTTGAGGTACGATTTGTGTTTGAAGGTCCGGTCACATTCCGGACATTTCACTATTTTTGAGTCTTGAACTTCTTTATTATGTTTTCTGTAAATTATGTTATTTTCTTTTTATGTCCTAAAACTTCTATCGTTTTCCAATTAAATAAATTCAAACATATCATAAAATGGTAACCGCCAATGATGGCAAGTTATGTATTCCTAAATTAAAAATTCAGCGACGACGTTAAAGCTCACCTAATATGATTCCGGTACCACCCACTCTCATAGTAGACCTGTTGGCAGATGGGGCACTCCATTGGGGTCGATTTTGTATGAATCTGCTCAATGTGACGGCGGAGGTATTGCGGACGCCTGGAAAGATAACACAGTCAGTAAAATACGTATTAAAAAAATTGTCCACATTCTAATACATATCTTAAATCACAATCTTGTCTTGAGCGCTGTAAATATGTCAAACTTCCTACAGAGAAAAATCTAAATAAAGCTTATTACAACTTCCATGTGTCAACACCCAATACGTTTTTGACAAACAGGAGACGATACTTAGCACTAAGTTTTGATTCAGAATCATACCCTTAGTGTAACTCCCATACGCCAAAAACGTATTGGATTTAACATTCGGGAGTCATCCTTACCGCTAACAATATTACCTTCTACCTTACAATATAATTCATATAAAACTGGCACAATGAGGTCCTGCGTTAAACTCTTTTTTTAATTTTATATAACTGCTTAGTTGGCAAAGCCTTTTTTTCAAAAAAAAAATTAGTATTCCAAGAAAGAGTTTGATGTTGATGAAGGTCTTGATACTCTCAATGTAAAAGGATAAGAGTATAAAACTCATAACTTCGCACAATAATTACTCACTTGAAGGTAGACCCGCACTGGTCGCAGTTAAACGTATTCCCGCTGTGCATAAAAGATACGTGGCCTGCTACTGCGTCTTTGTCCTTGTATCGCACGCTGCACACCATACACCTATAAGTATAATAAAAAAACGTCGGGAATAATAAAAAAACCTCGCAACTCATATGCGAGCCTTCGGCAGTGTGATTGTTCAATAGGGGCGGTAACGTCAGATGAGCCTATTTTGAAAGTGTTTTTCCAATCACAAACTTGTTTTAAGCATTCTCAAGTTCTAGAACGCATGATCATTGTAACAATTGTGACAACTGTGACAACGCAACACGCTGTATATGCGCTTGCTTGTTTTGTACTAAAGTAAATTATGATAATTTTCTATTCACATAAAAAAAGACTATTGTGTTATTGTAAATTTGCATTTAACATAATAATTAAATTGTTATAACTTTTATTACACTCTTTTATTCTATAGTAATGAACTGGTCAGGTAATATTTACAGTTGATACACTACAATTTTAGATAAATAGTAACAGTAGGTAGGTAGGTATAAACACAAACAAATTCAGTATTGTAATGGATCATTCACCTAATACATGATCTATCTAGAGTGCGACGGCCTATAGTTACATGTAGAAACACTAGTTTTTCCAACTAATTCAAAAAAAATTCAAAATTCAAAAATCATTTATTCACGTAGGTAACACAATGTACACTTGTGATTCGTCATTATAGAAATACATATTAATGCTTCTAATTTTACATTTAATTAATGTATGTACATCAAAATTCATGAAAATCCGTTAGGGCATACTTAGCCAAATACTTTAAGAATGTTGTTTAATATTATTATTGTCTAAACTCCTACCTGTATCTTCTATAATGTCGCAATTTGTGACGATGAAGTGTCTCCTCACTCTTCATATAAGTATTGCACACTTCGCAAACAAATTCACCTGATTCCTGAAAAATTAAGAATTAACTTAAAAGTTTAGCGGAGGGCCGAATATTCAATTTGTTGCAGTTCAAATATTAATCAAACTACAAAAACCTATGCGGGTAAATTTTCCACTTTTAATATTCAGTCTAAACTTAAACACGATGAAAGGGAAATAAGTTCTTGAAAGTGTGGAAGAAAAAATATTCATTAAAACCGTTTCTTTGTAACTAACCTTTGTGTGCAACTTCATATGCACATCATAGGCATCTTTCACAACAAAACCAGCAGCACAACCTTTGCATATATAATTCATATGTTTTCGAGACTCATAGGCTTCTTTCAACTCAGCCAGACGCTCCTCTTCAGTAATTGTCACTATCTCTATCTGGTTAAGGATGTCATACCCATAGTATTCCTCAGTTCCTGAAAGATTAAAAAATATATTTTAAATGGTTTAAACCAGTAGTGCAGAAGTTTTGGCCTTGTGGCTTGAGCATGTGTCACCTTCACTTACTTGCCAATTAGAATAAAAGTTAGTGATACGGATACAACAATATGAGGCCTCTGTATTTTTTAATCAACGGTATATACAAAGTCAATCATGTTCGACTTTCTTTCTTATTTGGAAATATAAATGTATATATATCAAAGTATTGAAAAAGTAGATAGCAAGTGCTTTAGTTAAGTCAAGACTGCTTCACAGAGGGCTATAATTTTGGTTCTTTTAACACTACTGATGCAAAACAAAAATTTATTGTTTAAATAATATATTATATATAAGATTATAATTATGAACACACCAACCTTTTGAAGGACCTTCTTTAGATGGTTTTTCAGTAGTGGATTTTTTCTGAAACAAAGTTAATACAACTTACTATATGTCATTAATATTGCTATTTAATTATAACACACAGATACTAAAAAGAGGTTAACTGGCTACATCAAATAATACTCCAGTTTTATAGTATTTACAGAAACATACAAGTATTATCAAATTATATTTTTAGGATCATGGGATCTTATATTCTAGAATGTTAGTGAAGAAACTCTTTGGACTACTTTTGAAAAAAATATTGCTTTAAAAACAAACATATTACTATGCAATGGACATAATGACTTTTGCTTTACTTTTCATTACCTCAGGTTCCCATTCATCATCAGAAAGCATTATCTTCTTCCTTCTTTGTATAATTGGGTTTCTGTTTTTATTTTTTTTACCTGTTGATGTAGATGACTCTGCTTTATCTAAAAATATTTTAATCAAATTTGTGACTAAGACAAAACCTTATTAATTTAACTTGTATCAGAAAAGAGAATATAAGAAACGGTCTGTACCTTTTTTATTATAAAGTTTATAAATTGAAAATTATAGGATTATTTGGTGAAAGCTCACTGACATTTGTTAATAATTTAGGCCACTTTTTTAATCTACATAAAATATTACAAGATATTATGACATTGTAAGTTAAAATTTAAACTGTAATAATTCAAAAAGGTAAAATGTCTTGTATATTAGTACAGAAATATATAATACACAAGTTAATTTTTGTAAAGTATAATTTTAGTCATATGAAAAAAATCACAGTATAACTGTCATGCTTTCATGCCTAATCCGCTGACCCAATTTCAAAGTAAAAATATAATTTCTTCTTCGTTAAGGGATTATATTTATTTAAATAGCATTTTAAGATGTTTCAGAAAATGTTTTGTTTTTTTTTACCACACAACAACAATTGCTATGCTACTACAGTTTCAACAATAATTTACATAAGTACCTACCATTCATTAAAATATCTATAATTCCAAGCACTTCTGGCATATCTGGTGGCTCACTTTTAATTACCATATTCACTACATGCTCCGTATTTTCCGATAAGTTGATATTTTTGTTATGACCTTCTTTTGTTATGGTTCTTTCCACATCAATAATTTTTTCTTCCATTTCAATTTTTTTAAGGTGAACAATCACGTTATTAAAAAAAGGAATCCGAATCCGAGAAAATTAAGCGAGATTTTAGTAATTATTTCCACTTTCTAACTTCCTAACACTACTTTCTTTTAATGCTTATCCCGTCTTTCGATTTTTATAACAAATCAATCTACATCTAAAACATTAAACACTTTTTGCAGACTTAAGTCATGTATGTATGTCATGCCATTACCACAAAACTAAAGAAGAAATTCGCCATGATAGATAAAAACAATCTACCAATAACAGTTTGATAAAGTCATTTGAAACAAGTGTCTCTATTGAATGTGATTACAGACAGGTAACAATAAATATTTTTTATCAGACTATGAATTATAATGATAAAAACACGATCAAAAAATTCACATCTTTAGTGCTTTTTTTTTTCATAACATTTTATTGATCAACTTTGCCGACAAAAAATTAACACAACTCTCATCTTCGTAAGACGTAACTGTCGACTCGACTGTCAAGTCAAAAGATGACTAGACAGTAGACTAGAATAGTGATAGGGCTTGAAAATGATCACGTGACAAAGCGTAGCATAATGTCAATCTCAAGCCCATGGGCTTTGAAACATTATTGGAACGTCGAATACACACTATTAACCATTTCATTTATTGCTTCGTAATTTTGTAAAATTTTTAATTTTAAAGGGGTAGAAGAGTTCCCAGTTTATTGTTAAGGATATGTTAGTACTATGACTACAGTACTTTTCTGTGTTCACAGCCCCTGGGGCTAGAGACAAAAGACACTTTGCGACCGGCGTGACCCACTAACGCCAAACTAGTAAAAAGGGGTCTTTTCGTCGGTCGTTTCTTTTTTGTCTCAAATCTCTGGATCAATAGGCAAAAAAGGTTGCGACGGCCGTGCCCCGCTATCGTAATTCATAAATATAAAATTGTATGATTATGACATTCCCCTACTACATCTGTGCATTAGCTCACCAAACGTTCATAAAAATACGATTTATGTGTAAACCTGTTACGCCTGCCACAAACTGCACAATAGACCCCAGTGTTAATATCATTTCACGTAACCCGTATCTCTCACGACTTATTTTTATTGTTAACCTTAAAAAAGGTTATAAGAGATTTGATCTTTTGAGACGCATTCTCTACAGCAATAACTGCACAGTAAAGGGACCTAGACATAGACTTTTCAACAGGCGTGATCCACTAACTTATTTTTATAGGCAAGCCTGAGCGCATGTTATTCATCATTGGCATACAATTTTATAACGTGTAAGTGGTTTAAGATAGCGTTGGTTGGTTACTTCAATAGTGACGGATGACGGAATCTTTTAATGGATTCGATCTCTACTCGTTCTTTATTGTTATTGAGTAAAAAATATGCAATCAATCGTGAATCACGAATCGAGACAACACGATCGGCACGAAATTGGTAAACCTAAAGATGAATGGCGTGTGATTTCGTTTTTCCCTATTTAAAGTAATTGTCCAGAATTGGAAAGTATAATACCTGGCATTACCAGTTTTGTTTTCTTAAATATCAGAATAATAAAACAATAATATTATAGTTATTCTTCCTTATTTAATTATTATCAAAAATTGTAATACATAACTTAATAAAAAATTAGACAAATATTTTTATTAGCACTTAAAAATACAATACATACATTATATGATTTGTAATCTCAAAATATATTTATTTCCTTTTATACATTTGGTATTTAGCCCCATTATATTGAAGGGCTGTATTAAAATAAAAATATACTGAGTTATATATTTTTCAAGTATCAAATTTTATACATTGCATACTTAGTTATTTGTTACAGTTCTAAATAAAATGCATCAAATAATACCGATCTAGAACGCACATCGGACCTAGTGAGGGTATAAGTGCGGAAACTGAGTCCACAAACCAATACTGATCTATAATATATGATTAGTTTTCATTTCAACAGGAAACTCACAATTTTGCTTGTATAATAATTAAGCTGCCAATAGTAGTTGTTACATATTATTTTAATAATCTCAGTATATTTTTATCATTAATATTAATTATGTCCTGGCCAAGTGCAATGAAACCTGTATAAATAGGTATTGTACAAAATTGTGCAGACTACAAGCGGTTATGTTATAAATGTATAAAGTTTTTGTATGGGGGCTTATGAATTACTTAGTCAATTCCATTATAGTAAATTGTGTAATTTATTATTAAGACTCAAATAATTATCATTTACCAATTACATTTACGATGGTAACTAATAGTATAAATTATAATTACTCTCAGGAAGTATAATAGACAAGACTGTGGGAAAAATGAAAATGTAAATAACCATTTGAAAGCCAACACCTTATTGAGGATTATTTTTTCAGATGTATTTGTAATATAATTTGAGTCTTAATAAATATTATAATCATTAAACTTGTCCAGTTCAAAGCAGTTGACTTAAAACATTTTGCACCAGCAATTAATATAAAAATATTGACTATCATATTTTGGAAGAATTTATTAATAATTTGTGTTGTAAGCACAATCTTTGAAAGTTGTGCGTAAAGAATTAAGATATAGTAATGACGCAAAATCGTAACATTAAGAATTAAAGTAAAAATAAAAGTAATAGAAAACAGGATTTGCGCTTACAACACAACTTGAAACTAAATCTACAATTACACTATATAATATGTAACATTGCAACTTTTTACAGAAAAATGCTGTATCAAAGCTGAATAACACAGGTTTATCTCTGGTTTTTATTCATACTTATAGACTTAAGCGCATAAGCATTCATATGCAATATGCCAATTTTTTTACATTTTCAATTGCCTGTTATATTAGTAACAAGGGAACTGGCACTGATGACCTTTTGAGAAAATTTAATGAGAACATAAATACTTGATTGTTATGTTTAATCTTAGGAATAAGATTAGTTTCATCTTATAGTCATAACAGTACAAATAAATCAGTACAATGACCTCATTCTGTCAATGTCACGCTCAAGTCGCGTTGTGTTGCCTAGTTTCTCTGACGAACACAATTTTTCGTCACGTTAATAATTCACGGTACTAAGATTTAGTATTTCAGGATGACTAATGGTATATTAAAATACATAGTTTAAAAAAAGATTGGGTTTTACAAAAATAAAATTATCCATTACTTAATCATGTATTAACCTTAAATGGCAGTATCAAGAAAACTGTGAAGAGTATTTTTATGAATTAGTATTCAGATACAGTTTTATTGCATATGCTATTTACACAGATAAATACTACATGGATTTCGATGTAACAATTCCAGTATGGAAGCTCAGTATATAATTATTTTAATGTCATGTCCCGATAAATAATAAAGACTACAGTTATTACAATTCTGAGTTTTACATCAAAATTTCTCAGAACCTATTCAATGTAACATGAAAAATAACATTCAAAATATAGAAAAAAAAATAACCGATTATTTTTTAATTAATATAAATAGATTTTTTAATGTAAATAATATTCGTTCATATGTGCGCACATATAAATTTAAAATTTATAAATTATAGCCCTACTCGGTGGGCCTATTAATTAATTATTTGAAGTAGGCTGAGAGTGTATAATCCCAATTCACTGCAAAAATGTTTTTATGTTGGTATAAAGTTCTAGTTAGAACTGATTATTCAAAACTCATACCTTTTAGGTACAAGAAATTGCTAAAAATATAACTTATATAAGATAAGCTTACAACTGTTAAAATGTAATTTTTCCTGAAAACATTTTAAATTAATTTAGATCACTTTAAATTGTTTTGTTTAAATATGTTATTAAACTTTATACAAACCTTAATCATTTTTATACTTAGTATACAGAAAATCTTTTATAACAGTAAGATTTGGTAATTTTAATATTCTTATTGAGTCAATTTTTGCTGTTGTTTTTAAATAAATTAGCCTATTTATGACACAAAGCCTTTTTAAGTTGTAACATACACATACCTGTAAAATTGTCCAAATAAGAAAAAGCCTTGCTCCATAATAACAATTGGATTCTAGCCACTTCACTTACACTAACACATTGTCACCATTGTACAGCATTTAGCTAGTTATGTCATCAAGGAACTCCACATAGGTGAATGGAAAGTGACCAACTTTTCCGTTCAGCTCGCCTTCCCATTGGCCGTTTATGTTCATTTTTGTCACCTGCGATTAATATTATTATTATATATATATATATATATATAAATTAAATTACAAAAATTGCCTCAATTTAAAGAACTCCCAAGTAACTGCTTTATGCCAGTTAAACATTATAATTTTGTGCTAGAGTTTGTTATTTTTAAAAGTTAGTAATTCTGCATTTAAAGATCTTCTAAAAATTACTTGCCTCGTCTGGGAATCGAACCGACTTAAATGTAAAAAAAAACACATCTACTTTTATGATGCCAATCGAAAGAATGGCCAAAAACTAATAACTCTCCTTAAGTAACATAGTATTTTAAAAGAAAGGAACAGCGTGAAATTAATCATTTTATTTAAATTTAAAATATTATCTATCGTACGTATTTGGTCTAAGGAAAATCCCCTACAAGTCACTGAAAATCTTTGAATGCAGAATTACTAACTTTTAAAAATAACAGTCTTCTTTCAGTAAATTACCCTATCTACGATATTTAAGGTACTTTCCCTTCATGGCCCACAACTTTGGGACGCCCTGTATATTAATGATGTGAATATTTTTGAATCATATTAAAATATGTATAATGAAAATTTACCTTAAGTATTTCTCCCTCCTGTAATTTAAGGGCAGTTTTGTCGTAGGCGTTAGGGACCCGCGATTGTCGTACGCGTGCTAACGCTGGCAGAGTGCGCTACAAACAAATACATGACATTTAATTATGACAAATTAAGTATAGTAGAATAATGAATAAAAAAAAGTGTGTGTGTACAAAGTACACATGTGAAGTGAAACTTCTGTGGCAAACTAATCTTTAAGTGTTGTTCATATTTATACAAATCTAAAAGTTTAGATTTCCGATACTTAGAGGGACGGAAAAAGAAAGATATGTTAGGAATTTAATGAATTTAATTGTCATTAAAATATTAAGTGTCGAATAATAAATAAAAAAAAGGAAGATTTTATTACAATTACTTCACTAATTAATCGAAAGGAACTTCGTTCCATCCGGGTGTCCCTTGACACCTCTCAAGTTTTTTTATCACTTTCAAATTAATATACTGCTCAAAACAATTAGCGGAACAAGATTTTTCTCCTTTATATTGCTTAAACTAAAATTAGATTTAAATTAACTTGTACGCTATTTTTTACCTTGTTAATTTGTTAATTACTACAATTAATAAAAAAAATCAATTTGTATTTTTTTTATTAAAAAAAATTAAAATGTGCATTGTAGACGAAAAAAAAGGACGTCTTTGAATTTTCATTACTTTCTAATCACAGAAAACACATTTTAAGTAGTTTTTTTCAATCTTTTGAGTATTAATAGAAATTGAAGTGAGCCTTTTGAGTATTGTTATTCATTGAAGCGAGTGAGTTTCGAGGTCATAATGCCAGATCTGACTGAATGCATGTCTCCCGAGCTATCGCTTTGCTTGAAGAGGGTCGAACTATGTTATGTAGGAAATGATCTAGGAGTAGCCCCTTCTGTTATCTACAGACTTTGGAAGCGATACCTGAGACGGGAGAATACTCACGAAGGCGTTGTCAAGGTCGAAAGAGAAAAACTACACGTTTGCAAGATCGCTACATCGTCAACTGTGCTTTACGTAACCGCACCACAACTGCAAGAGATCTACAAAATACACTAAGGACGGCTACTGGTGTAGAAATTTCCGACCAGACGGTAAGAAATAGGTTGTTGGAAGCCAATTTGAGATCACGCCGACCAGTTCGGGCTGTGCGTCTAACAATTCAACATAGACAAGCTCGCCGACAGTTCGCGCAAAATCACGCTAATTGGCAACTTCAACATTGGAGGCCAGTGCTTTTTACTGACGAATCACGATTCCGTCTAACACGTTGCGATGGTCGTCTCCGTGTTTACAGACGCCCAGGCGAGCGATACAGTGCAGTAGCAGTCCAGGAATATGACAAATTTGGATGTGGCTCTGTGATGGTTTGGGGCGGAGTTATTTGACGAGCGCACAGATCTCGTCGTTGTTCCGCGCTTGTGTGCTCAAACTTACATTGAAAATTGCTCGAAGATATGTTTGGCCGAGATATGGTATGGGAGATTTTCTTTTAATAAGATAATAGGCCGCATATAGCCATTACTCAATTACTTACACAGCAGGAAATCTTAATAGAGTGTTATGAGCTACTAAATCCAATTGAACAATTTGGACTTGTTGAAGGCATCGAAGATGATTGCACTAAACACTGAGCACTCACTGAAGGTTATTAAAATGGGAGCGAATTAAAGAAGATATTGGAGGATCATAGCTAAGTGATTAGCTCATGGACAAACGTTACTGAAAGTCACTAAAACAATATTCAAACATATAAGAATATTTCTTTATGGACCTTTTTATCACCAATTATTTTTCTTAAATGACATTTTAATTTTTTTTTTAATAAAAAAATACAAATTGATTTTTTTATTAATTGTAGTAATTAACAAATTAACAAGGTAAAAATAGCTAAATTAATTTAAATATAATTTTATTTAAGAATATAAAGGAAAAAATTTTGATTGTTATTCTCATTGTAAACCAAACTTCAAAACTGATATATTGTTGTTATTATTATAATATATTATATTCTTTACGTCACTATACTTTACTTTGATAAAAAAATGTGACGGTAATTTTTTTTCCAACGCCGATAAAGAAGTTTGACTTCAAAAAGCAACATGGCGCGTAACCGAAAAACGTGACGATTTGATACAAAATTTCTCCCATACGTCGATAAAGAAGTTTCACTTCAATAATAATTTAGTATGTTATAACCAATGAAACTTATTCTTTAATCTCATTAAAGAATAAGTTTCATTGGGTTTTTATCAAATTACCTGCATATTTGATCCTTTTTGCTGTTTATTGTTTGGAGGACTCGGGGGGTCTCCCAGCTGAGTTAGAGCCTCGTTTGCTGGATATGGCATTCCCGATGAGTCCAACAACTGTAATTAACAAAGATAATAAATATTAAAAACCTTATGTTTAACTTACGTACAATCAGTGTGAGTGTGTAACAATAATAGCTAAAAATTCTGAATGGAAAAATAAATGGAAATTAAACTTATACACTTATAATTTATCATAAAATTTTGAAGAGTGACAGACAGAAAGGAATTGAATCTTTATATGTATCGATGCCTACAAATCGAGCGATACGACGAAGTTTTTATATATTTCGTGGCCTGATCGTAGAATTTATTATTTCACAAAGTAAATATGTCATAAATAGTTTACTAACTAATGAACTGTCATATATATACATATATTTTGCGCTTGCATATGCTAGTAACAGATACAGTGTAATCTCCATGTAACGTGCTTCGATTTAACGAAAAACCCCTTAGTTTGTCTTCCATACAATAATACACTCTACATAGCATTACCCCGACCCTCAATAACGACAACAATTAATAAGTACTAAAAAGTACTTTTTAAGTAACTAAAGTACTAAAAGTACTTTTAAATTGTTTGCGAAATTAGTCAAAACTGCGGAGCTGTGTACGTTGTTTTGTCGCTTTATTGTCCTAGTGAGAAATAAACTCGACTGTCGGTACTCATCCGTACCGAACTTTCCAAGAACTTTTTTTTTACATATTGCGCATGCTTGCATGTGCTTTATCACAAAGATGCCTCAATATAGCAAGATATGAATAAAATAAGTAATAAAAAACCTAACTACTGGTACAGTACAAAAATAATAGACAACGCAATAGCAAATACCAATTGTTTTTATGTAAATACAAACACTAGTCTAATTAAACTTTCTTTTTCTAATAGAGGATTTTCTTTCCATTCAACGGCAACTTGTAACGTCAAAGGGCACAGTCCCTTGAGTGTCGTTATATAGACTTTACACTGCACTCACCCTCTGCACATAGGGTACTGGTATAGAGCCTGTGCGTCCCTGAGCGTTCCGGGCGGTCCACCATTGCTCCTCATCACGATTTATCACCATCAGCCGTTCGCCACGACGGAACGGTAAGTCGTCTGCGTCCTAGAAAATATATAAGTAACTATTAATTTTAAAGCTTAGCTAGCTAAGGGAGCGTGCAAGTATTACGTCACGCAATTTTTGGAGATTATTGACACCCCCCTCCCATGTAACGCGCCGTAACACTATTAGGTACAACTTTTTAACGTTTCGTGACCACCCAGTGACTCTTTATACCTAAAACTTACCATTATGTGGTGTAAAGTACTGGAAAGTCGAAAATAATATTAACAATAACGCGTAATTCAATCCCCGCCCCGCATCATAACGTTTTACAAATTAGACCAAAATTCGTTACGTAATACTTGAACGCTTGAAAAGAAAAATCTATATAACATAATTTACACTGAATACTGCGGATAGTGAAGAATATCTATATTTACTCGACAGATTACGATAATCATAGGTGAGGATGGGATTAGTAGGATGTGAAAAATCATATATCTTCTTTATAAACGATTTGGCTACATTTCAGATGACTAGTCAATTATTTTGATAGCTATTAATTGGTACAAAAATTTAAAGATATGTTATCTTCATAAGTTTTACTTTTGCTTTTAAAGTTTCCTACTATTATGACTTTGACAATTTAATTTATTACATAAATAAAACTTATAATGTTGTAGAAAAATATAGTAGGACGTACAGGACGTAACAACAGAATATTTGCATTTGTTATAATAAAACATCACGTAGAGATCGTACGTACGTAAAAGCGTTCGATCAAAAGATGCCCGAACTGTGGTTGAAAAAATTATAGTACGATTTGTATTCGCAACAGAATATGCTATAAATAAATAATTTTAACATCCTAAACAAAAATAGCTCATCATTCACCATGTTCTACACATCACTATCTATTTTTATGTGGCAAGAAATTATTAAATGAAAAGAATTAGCCGGTTACGCAAAGCCTAGTGCCACATTTTCTATTTATTTATAGCAGAACTTCCGTTAGATAAGGTTACGCTTCACATTTATATGGATAATTCAAAATGAGTTGACAACTGCAGCCGTTCCTTCATTTAATGAGTGTCGAAAAATGTATTGTACGACAACATATTCGGCCAAATGTGACAGGAATTCTAAAATATATTAGTATACATTGAATTTAATACCGTTGTAAACTAACTAACCTATAACTATATAATAATTATTTGATTTACATATATTCGAAGATTAAAAGATACTTACGCTACCATCAAAATCGAACTTTGCGATTACAACTTCCAGTACATGGTGAGGCTGGGCGGGAGGCGGTGCGGCTGCTTGTGCATTAGCTTGTGGCAGTGGCCGAACTAAAGGAGTGGTGTCCAGGTAATGAAGACGATAGAAGGCCAGTAAGGCTGGCATATCAGCGAATAGTTGGTTACCAATGCGATAACGTGTACCACCGTCCGGAGACACCACCCGGTTTATTATATAATGAGATACTCTATCATCCTCCCTGCAATCAATAAAGTAAATAGAAATACGTATTTTATAATTAACAATAAGTTATATTACTATGTATCACACTATACAAAAATTTACTGATTTAATCAAAGAACAGTCACATATTTGACATACATCTATAAGAAATGCAAGTAGCAGACTTTTTTATAGAATGCATTTAACAGCAATTTTCTTTTAACAGATAAAGCTATGCCTATTATAATAAATGATATGTTATATTAGTTTCTTCCTTCAAGGTTAAAAACCTAATCCAAGGTTGTAATGCAAATACATACAATATACATTCATAATACTATTCTTACTCAAGTTTTCAAGTGTTTCTTAATAAGGAAGGTCATGTAAGATTTTATAATAAACCAATACATTCTTATAATTTATTTGTTTTACAAAAATTTTCTTAAAATCCACAAGTGTCAAAATTACTTGCTTTTACAGTTACTGCATTATAAATTCACTTGAGTTAAATATAAAAAAATCAGCTGTAATAAAATACATTACATTTATACCGTAAATGTAATGTCTCTCTCTATAAATCTCTTATTATTGGTAACATAAGCCTTTTTTTAATAACAAAGGGGGAAAACACGCATACCTGACACATAAAACATAATCTCCATGAATGGTTTTAGAGTCTCGTACTAGAAAAACACCACTCTCAGTTTCATTTAGTAAAAGTTTGGTTGCCTCAGCTCTAGACAGTCCACCAAAATACCAGCTGTAAGAAATATCAGCAATGTAAGTATGTATAATTTACTTATTTATTGTATTGCTACTAATATTCCTTTACAGGAAAATTTCAAAATATACCTTATAGTTCTTTTGTAGGTAATAATTAAATTTCGTATGAATCACAATGTGTCACTTCTACAAATTGTAAAATGTAGTCAAAGGAACTGGGATAAATACAGAAATATTTATTTTGAATTATTGGTAGATATTCGTATATGCATTATGGAGAAGTATAATTTATTTTGATAGATATTATTTAATTTTATGAGGTTTATGAAATAATCAAGGTTAAATTGTATAATGTTTTGTGGCTGGAGAGATATATGCTTAATTTATTCAGTAATACTAGATTTCAAAAGCACCTATAGGTACTATAAAAAATATAGTAAAACCTGCTCTACATGATCACATTTACTACAATTCCCATATTGCTAAATTGGTCCTGAACCATAAAAGCATCATAGCATACAAAGGTTAGTTCTATGAAATTTTGTTTAATATATTTTGACTTATTCTTTTCTGCTTAAGATTAATTTATTTAAAGCAGCCTCGAAAAAACTTATATAGCCTTTAGTTTACTGATGTGAGTAAGGAACTTTAAAAAATAACAAAAATGATTTATAGTTAAGGCATTCTCAAAATAGAGATATGAAAACGAAACAATTAGTAACTCAAAAATTCTAACTTCCCAGAATATGTTTATACAACAGGTAGTTAACCTGGCTCAAATTTAGATCAGTTGTAAAACAATGTTTAGCAGAACTGCACTAAAATCTAATTTTATGATCTTAAACTCATTTCTTAACTTAGCACAATTGAGTCAGATTTGCATTATACTTTATGAATAGAAGAGTGAACTGACTATTGATATCATGATACATTCTACACACTAAATGCTTCTTATTAGTTTAATACTTTTGTTGTTTAGACATCTTAGTTCCCTATCAACTATACCTTATCAGAGCAACGGAGTTATTACCTGGACATGTCATTTTGATCAAACGAAACCCCAATAGTAGGGTTCGCCATCCTAGAACTTGATAAATAACAAGCGCCAATTAGCATTCATCGGCTCTCCATCGCTGACGGATGTTGGCTGATTACACTGCGGTTATCATTCACCCCGGACATATGCACTTCCTGAGATTCACCTAACGATGCTTTCACTAATACAAACATAAAACGACACATTAATTATTGTAATCAACAAAAATTTCAATTTGTTGACATCTATTCACTGTGACTGTCATCAAATCACCAAGTTATGTGAACATCAAAACACATGTTTCCGAATTTCCCGCACGCTGATGAAGCGTCACCTTCGCACGCATACCTCTCTCACTAACTTACTGATGATATAAATGTAATAAGTCTATTAATAGATTGCATAAAAATAATATTGTAAACCACACACGCGAACTTTCAGGCCGTGGGGCGTAGACACAAATGATTTTTTTTATTTTGACGCATTACGCTCTAGGAGCTGAAATTTGTCGTTGACTGTCTCTATGCAATGTATAATATGTTCACAAAAGAGTTTATAAAAACTAATTTATTAAGCGTTAATATGCTAAATCGATAACTTTCTTAAGGGCATGTTTAAAAAAAAGTTCAAACAAAGATTATTCATGAATTCTTGCTTCATGTCATCAAGTCTTTTTGACATATTTTCTATGAAGTTACACATCATCTTCAAATTTTAGTCTATGGTACATGTCCATTGTTTTTCTTCAATGTTATTTTTCTGATTGCTACTGGTGGACGAATTTTTTTCTCGCTGCGTCGAGAGTGAGTTTGTGCTGGTGTTCGTGTTCGATACAGTGATTTATTCGAAATAGATCACGAAGATGTCGTCACCGAGCGCTGGGAAACGTCGTATGGACACGGACGTCATAAAGCTGTATCCTTTGTTATCTTCCCTATCTAGTTGTACAAAGCACCTAGGTACTGCGTTGATCGTTCATACAAATAAGTAGGTAGTTAAGGGCCATCAGCTGATTGTCATGATTGGGTATAAAATCGATATCATTCGTTGGTAAATCACACAAAGCTTTGTTTGCCCTATTAAGCAATTTTAAGTAGCATAGGGGATACTTTTAATAGTATATTAATGGGATAATTGAAGGGATTGAACCTTTGTATACGTCCATGTACATACCTATAGATACACGCACACGTAGATAATCGTGCATACGGTACGTTATAGAACGCTATTCTTCCGTATCTTAGATTGTATTTCGTAATTCATATGTAGGCCATGGTCTCGATTGCGTATTTTCGTATACTATCACGGCCCTTTTAATACTTTTTTAATTCCATGTAAATGAAACAGTAGTATAAATAATCCTTTTTTATTCAGCACACACTTTGTTCATTCCTTTGTTCTTTTATCACAGCTTAAATATTTCTTTTTCTTCACGTACATAGGGCAGAGTTATTTCTAATATTTAACTAAATCTTAATACCCTATTAAAATACTAATATAAAAAAAAATTAAAAAATTATCTAGGTATAATATTATCTTTAAACCAAGCTAAAAATTTATCGGATTTATTATCATTGACCTATGAAAGGTGAATGACATTGTTTAAATTAAACTCAATAAACAATTCTTAATAGAAAAGAAAACAGTTCACATAGCTGCACCTATATAATTTTATTTTTAATTCTAGGGAAAAAACAGATTAATATTAAAAACTTTATTATACATCTGCAGATTGTTTTCTCACATGCTGAGAAGTTGTTTTTTTAAAATAGGAATTGCCAAGTTGAAGGCTATTTTATAAATTGTGAATACAAACAATTGATCAATATAATGAATTCACTAAAGTATTCATTCAGTAATCATGAATGCTAATTAATCTTGAAGCCATATTAGGATGTATGCAAATAAAAAATACAAATGTATGACTTATATGCTATACTTTTATACACATCAATTATTGTGCCACAAGCAATACAAAATGACTGGGCAGAAACGAGATTTATTGAAATAGGCATAGGCATATAGTAGAGCAGCCTGAATCTTCCAATTATACATAATTAGAAGAATATTTATATAGAATCTATTTTTTATGCCTGTATACTGTTTGTTATCAAACTATTGCTAACTTGTTGCACCACATGTACACCTTTCTATTTATATAAGTTCGCTTATAATATAACATCAAGTATATTCAAGTAATAAATCCGACTTAAAAAAATCAAGAGGAAGTTTATAATTTGACATGTAACTTTTACCGTAACTGTATTATAATAAATGAACTTAATGTAATAGTGGTTTTTTGAAGGTCACCAGATTTTTCCTTAACCATGTTATCAGTATTGAAAGTAAGCATGAGGTGACAATATTGGGCGGTTTGAACGAGTTCTGTGTAAAATTCTTTGGACCTCCGGGCAGTGAGTATTAAACTAGTAATGTCCCATACAATGATCAATTGTCATGCATCCTCATGATGGACCCGAAGAAGTCAACCACATATCCAAGTGTTAGTGTTTGTAAACAAATTTATGAAAAAAAATTACTTTCACTCTGTCATCACACACAAAACTTGTCGAAAATTGATTCACTGCTTGTCACAAATTAGTTTAAAATTTTATATTTGTTGAGTATATGAGTGTGTAGCAACACAGCACACTACTTTTAACCACAACACACCCTTCTGGATTTTTTTTACACTCCAAGTAAAAGCTTACTTGGAGTATTAAAACACAAGTGGGAAGTCAGTGCCTAGTTAAATGGGACATTTTTTTAAACATTTGGATTTTTTGGTTTGGATAGACAAAACTTATTTTGTGAGACACTTTAAGAAAATAATTAAAAATGTCAATCCTCAATCCAGTTAAATTGAACAAATAGTTTTTACAAATGCTATGCTATGCTAATGACAATTATTTTTGGAAAAGATAAATAAAGCTTGAACAAAAACCTAAGAAGTAAATTTCTTTAATGATGCTGCTTTCTTTGTCTCTTTTGATCTAATTACTTATATATATATTTCTTCACTGTAAGAAACAAAGGTAAAGTCTACCAATATATTTTGTTATTGTATCCTCAGCCCCATACGAAGGCGGTGTGTGGCGAGTGCGTGTCCACCTTCCTGACCACTATCCATTTAAGTCTCCATCTATCGGCTTCATGAATAAGGTCTACCACCCCAATATAGATGAGGTGTCAGGCACTGTGTGTCTTGATGTCATCAACCAGGCTTGGACAGCATTGTATGGTAAGGTTTTTCGAATTGTTAAACTACTTTCTTTCTTATCAAATAACTAAATGATTAATAATTACTTATTATGTCATGTGATTGGAATTTACTCTGCATATGCATTAGTAACAAAATTTATTTCAACAATGGCTCACAGTTTGTTGTTTGATAATTATTAATATTGGCACATACGCTATGCTAAGTATAGAAGAAGTAAGTTTATGCCTTCCACATAATTTAAAAATTAACAGAACCTCATGTTAAATTTTAGTCACCGGTTTCTTTGTGAGTGTGACATAAAGAGTGTATTGACAAAACCTCTTGTTTGACATAAAATTATAACCAAGATAAAAATGTTACAGATCTGTCAAATATATTCGAATCTTTCCTGCCACAACTGCTCACTTACCCGAACCCAATCGACCCACTGAATGGAGACGCGGCAGCCATGTTTCTACACAAGCCCGAGGAGTACAAGAAGAAAGTAACAGGTACGAAACTTAATAAAGTTGAATTTCTATTATTAAGACATGTATGCAGGATATTTTAACTTGCTTTATTACATTGGAAAGGAATTTTATTATGTAATAAAGCACGTTAAATAATTTTTTATTAACGCTACGATATAAAATAAACTATTTAGATTTGTAAATATTAATTAATACTTATTGAAGTAATTGATTATAACTTTTGTTAAAGCACATTACATGAGATGACATGACAGTGTCCTAAGCTACCTTAGCCCATTTTCTCTTCTCTTAGGTTTTGCAAAATATTTTTTAACTATCCGTTAAATCTCATTAAAGTTTAATTTTAGACTACGTGCGAAGATTCGCAACGGAAGAGGCGTTACTCGAAAAGGACGCCATAACAGGTATGGGGGCCACGTCCGCCTCTTCTGGTACCAAGCCGTCCAATGGCGCCGCGAGTGACACCGAGAGCTCCATGTCAGAGTTTAGTGACGACGAGGCACACGATATGGAGTTATAACGTTGTCTCGCTCACTCGTCGCTCGCTCACTGTCCTTACGGTTGTTCCGTGAATTCTGCGTTGTATTGCTCCATTTGAATTCGTAGGCATTATTCGAATTTTAAATTTCGATTGGTGGTTTTAATAATTTTATAAGCAGTGTTTAGTTTCAACTACTGTTTAATGATGTTTGAACCAGATTGGCTGTTAATCAAGGATGTTTGGTTAAAATAATTGCATTTAAAATTTAAATAAAATCAAGCAACGCAGATAAAACGTTACCACGCCAACTTAAAATCGTATAATTTACGTCGTGTTCACTGACATTTACAATCCAGATAATAGTAAAGTTATGGACCACTAATGCCAATTCTAGGTTTATATATATAACTGCTCAGGTGATAAGTGAACACGGCGACATATGCTTTAAAATTTGATAAAATTTTGTCTTTAAAAGTTCTATGTGTGGTTTTGAATGTTATAGATAAGTGGCTTTTATCGGTCATCGCGTTATAAAAATTTAATGTTCTATTACAACCTTATAAATTATAAAAAAATGTTAAGAAGTCAACGAATATTTCGCGGTGAACCGAATACGCTTAAGATTAGCTACCATAAGAAGTGTTCAAGTTTATGGAAAGTAGAAAGTCTCGGAAAGTTTTATGGAAAATTGTAGGTTATGTTCATAAGAACATTTTTAATCTATGTTAGCTGACATGATGGTAATGTCTTCTCTCTATGTATCTGAGAGAGACTGATTTCGAATTAAATTCTAGTACCCTATCTTAATATGAATTGTTTAACTAACATTTTAATAATTGTATTTTTAAGTAATGGCAACACCGGTGAATAGTGAGCGAGGTAGCATTTTGTAAATATCTTTTTAATCTGTCCCCATAGCATAAATACAATAATTCTATATGGCCCGTAGAAGCGGACTGCAGTCATCATTATATCTCATAGGTATTTAATTTTTTTATTAGTGTTAATTTTTAATGTGTCATTTTTGTCCATCTCCCTCTAACATATCGTTATTTTTTATACAAGCAACACCGGATATTGGTGGAAAAATTCTTTACTTACGTAGATAGAACCCATTTTTTGACATAAAATTTTCCAAACAATTATTTAAGTGTGTTTGGTTCTGTTGTTAAGGTACAAATTATAATTTGATCATTTTTCTACTAGAAAGTAATGTACTGTAAGAGCTGTTAAAACTGTGATTGATTTCTATGTTATGGAAAAAAATTAAATTGTCTATAGAGGTTGAGAAGTAAATCATATCTGTACTTAGTCTAATTGCTCTAATGCTTAAAGATATTTTATTTTTAGCACAATTTATTTTCATGTTTGTGAATGCAGTCTTCCCTTGTTATCAGTTGGCACTGTCTAAAATTTGTTATATGGCAAATTTATTTTAAAAATAATTTTTCTTTTAATGAAGCATCCGCTTTTAATGAACTTTTATGAAGATGACATTTTTACTGTTCTTGTCAGTAATGGCTTATTTTGTAATGTTCTTTTTTAATGTTGCTCATAAATAAATGCCATAATTTCTTAAATCGATTCATTTTTTCGCAAATTTTTATAAGCGCAACACGTGGTTTGAAAAATTTAAAAGAACATTACAAAAACCAAGATCTCTACAAACGACACATTGCAATCTTAAGTGTTGCAATCGTCTTAGTTAAGTCTAGGTTTATATAGTTGTAATGTGAAAAAATATATAAATAATATAGACCTATTATGTATCTCTAAATGAAAACTCAGCCATAATAATGATATATTTTGGTATAGGAGAAAACAAAATTAACTAGTTGTTTTTTTAAATATTTTTCAACTATCCCAGACTGGTTTGTGTACCTTCAGGTATGTTAAACTTAATTTTTCTTGGAACAAAATCATAAATTGCAGGTTTTTCTTTTAAAGACGATATTTTTATTTGTGTAAAATAGCATCATGTACCAAATCACTCAGTTTGCCTGTGGTTATTTTTAATTAGTTTAACATGTAAAAAAATAAAAGTTATATTTTTATTTAATTACATGTAGTAAACTTACGTTATTTTTAAACTAGCAAGTTGTTTTATTTGATCCAGCGCTATACTTTATTAAACTCGTGTTATGTGTGTAATATATGTACATATTTGATGACTGCAAATGATAGCTAGTTATGGGTCTTTAAGTATAAATACCTGAAACTATTACAAATGATATTTAATATAATTAGGGCCCCCGATTAATTTATAATAAGTTTTATATATCAAGAAAAATACTTCACTAGGAGACACGACTAGACAAAACTTTATTAAATGTACATATATGTGTATGTCGCGCATATGGGTAGCTGTCGTAAAAAATTTATCCATAACAAACTGCTTACAATATATCTTTTTTTCGATAGATTATTTTTTATCAAAGACAAGTCGTCGTTTAATAAAAAGGCTTATTATGGAAACCATGCTGACACAATGTTATACAATAAAATAACCATTAATTAACATAATTCTATTTAAAATAAACAGTTCAACAAGAGGCTCTATTTACAATATGCCATATATTATCTACATTCATACAATGTACAGAAACCAAAGATGTCACTTGAGGCGGTCACTTCAACTTAGGAATAGCAGTCTTATTTTCGGAACGATTTACCAAACCTAAATGCATTTTAAATGAAGGTGATGTGAGAAATATTTAAATTTGAATATGGTTATGTTAATACCAAGTGCCTTAACATTATTTGACTTAAGTGCCGAATTTACATAGAGTAAGCATACAAAATTAAGGCATTATAATAAAGGTAATATAGTAGGGGAAAAACATTTTATTTACCTTTACAGTACTGTTATTATATTTAATTAACAAAACCCTGCTTTACTAAAAATTGATTCAAACCTAGGTGGTATTTTTTACAAATACAGTCTAAATACTGATTATTGAATAGTAGTTGAGTGACCGGTGATAAATGCTATTCTGGAAAACAGTTGAAGGGTGCTGAAATATATGCATAGACAACATTAATACCAATGTTTAGTTACATTCTTGAAGGCAAATACATGATTCATTTAATTTATCCTTTGTCAAGATGTAGGAAGTATTATTTAATTATTCTTCAATAATACAATTGCTTTTTTTGTATTATTGAACTTGACTTGTGGTCAGGTCTTTTTTGTAAGGTTGTTTTTATGTAAAACACTATCTTATACTGAAAACTTTTCATAAGTTACATTTCATAGTAAATACTGGACAAAAAGTGGCTAAAAACTACACTTGAAACACAGAAAACAGCTTAAAAATGGATGATAAAGTTTATCATTGTATAGTGTGACTTTGTGCAACTTGCTCCATTTTATCTATAAAAGTCATATGTTTTTTAATAACATACATATATATAATATTAAAAAATTAAATACTTAAACCTGACCAATGACCATTTTAAATGTTTGATAAAATATCTTCAGAACATATCATAATTTTCTCCACTGTTTTGGACCACTATTATAATGGCAAATTAACATTTGTCAAAGCACTGTATTTGGTTATGAGCGACATACCTCTCACTTTCACACTTCACTAACACTAATATTTCACTATTACTAACACTAGCCAATGATAAGACCACAACCAAACTTGAATTGTTGTTTGGCTTGGTTGGCCATACCAGAGAGGGCAAATGTGAATGGTAATGGCTGTAATTTCTTCTCCAGCACAGCTCCTATGTTCCAGTTTGAGTCTACCATACCTAAAAGTAATTCCAAATTATATTGATATAGTGGAGGGTGTTGTATATTAAAACTTTAGTTATTCTGATTAATCTTTTTATCATAAATAATTTAAACCTACCTCTAAACACAAGTTCCGCTTTAGGTATAGTAACTTGGTAGCCTATGGTGCCTACAGACTCCATTCCTCTGAATGAGGTGTCCATTTCGGCCACCACCTGAAAACAGTAGTGTTAATACTAAGGCAAATATTTAGTTCCTTTACTTTGAAACTGTGTCCAAAATTAAAACAATTCTATTTCATTAATTTGGCCAATTGGATAATTTTTAGTTAGAGAGAACTTACTTGTAGTTGTTCACTGGCTTGTTTAAAGTAGCACACATGGAAACTGGCTGGTCCTAATGTTGCTGATACTTCTGAATCTGTAATTAGTTATTGAATAAGAACCTAAAACACATGTGCTAAATATTCCAGTAACATGGACTAAAATATTTTAGAAATATTTATACTTTATATCAAATACTGCATTATAAATCTTAAGACATAATTACTAATGAGATATAATTGATGAGAAATGTGAATAATAGATTTTTTTACGAAACAACCAAGGTTAACTATTTCATAATTTTAATTTTTCCTTAAAGGTATCATATTGTAGTACTGCTACATGTATTTATACAAGTACTAGCCGTTTCGCGCCCGCTTTGCTGGACGAATTAAAATTAATTTTATGTTTCATTATTTTATTTTTTTTTCATATTTTTATTATTCTTCTTTTTAACTTCCCGCTTAGAAAATTTAAATATTTCGAAAATCGAGTTTTTAACAGATGTTGACGTTTGGTGAAGTCCGTATGGATAAATTTTCATAAAAGTAAAACAGCAATAAAAAAATGAAGGAACGTTGGAATTTAATAAATAAATAAAATAAACCATCTAGGAAAAATTTCCCATCGAATGGTGGTAGTTTCATGTCGATACGATCAGTGGTTTAGGCGTGAAGGAGCCTCAAACGAAGACCATTTTTCTTTTATATATATAGATTTTGGTCCTGTATTCGAATTTAGAATTAACAACAATATCTGATTTGCAAGAAAGAGAATTCTGTTTATTTATTCGTGCAAACAAAAAGGTTAGTAGTGAAAAAATGGTATATAAATCTATACAAAATACTCCTTTGGTGGCAGGAGTAAATATAATAACTCACCATCCATAGTATATCTAGCAGCAGCTGACGCGATTGCTATCTCTCCACCCATGACACGTGCACTTGATTGATAGACCAGCTCTGCTCCCAACGCAAGCCGCTTAGTTACTGACTGGAAAATATTAAGGGAAAACTTGAACTCATGTTCTTATTTATAAATCTTTTTAACTGACCAATTCCAGTTTTTATAAAAAATATATATATTTTTAATTGGTTATTTATTAATTTTCCTTTTTTAACTTACAATATCACAAGTTTTTAGAGCATATTTATGAGTTTTTATAAGTTTAAGAGTAAAATAAATTCAGTTGGAAAAGTTACATTTGTTTATTGTGACAGCCAATTATTAGTTTAAGTTCATAGTAAAGTTAATATTGTCTCTTGATTAAGATCAGTGTTGTGGTAAGTGAATAGAGTAATTTTTGGGATACAAATTTTCAATTTTTTAAAATGTTATTCTAACCTGTAAATAGTGTCCTACAAAAACAGAAGACTTCTCACTAAAGTCAGGTTTTCCAACTGCCATAGCCAAAGTGTAATCTGAACCTTTGTACTCAAAAGTACCTTGAGTAGCTGTTAATTTGCATTCCTGTATCTGAAATATTGTACTATATGAAGATACAAATAATATTCAATTAAGAAGCTTTGAGGCCACAAGGTTAATTTATGTTATATTTGAAGCTCTAAAGCCATTATTTTAAATTAAATATGACTTATTTTAATTTTGCTCCAGTTCTTGCCTAGAAGAAATTTTATTTTTGAATAAAAATTCAGCTAAAATGAAAATATGGGGTGTATAAAATACCTGTGCAGCTGCCTTAACTCGAACATCAGGTGATAATTGATGTATAAAGTTAAAGTTAACATTGCCCGCTGGATCTACATCACCTAGAACCACAGGAAATGCCTCTGTTGGTGATATTTGCTTTGTGCCAATGTATGTTGCACCAAGCTTGTACCCATTTTGAGCTGTACTCATAGTTAAAGTATGTGACATCTGTAGGAAATAATAATAATTTTATATCTTTAGATTGAAGAATCTTCAAAGAACAAATGGAGCAACATCGTCACACACTGGTATCCACGTAACGGCAAGAGAAGTAGAGGACGGCAATACAGACGATGGGAGGACGAGCTAAAACTGACAGCAGGCCCAAACTGGAGGAGAGTCGCCTTGGACAGAACACAGTGGAAAGAATTGGAGGAGGCCTTTGCCGAAAGGCACACTGTAATTAGGGATATTTTATAATTTTAATTTATATATACTAACTTTAAAACTTACAGTAATAAAGGCTATTTTATTTTTATTTTATTTTATCTTTAGATTGTTCAATTGACTGAATCTCTCAAAGCCATAGTTAACCAAGTAATATCTACCTGAAAGTGGTTTGATATGCCCTTATTAACCATCAGTTTACCTCCCTCAAAGTTCACTGGCATTACATCTAAAATAAAAATAGTGTTTAAGTATATATATATATATAATAAAGAGCAGTGTTGGCCTAGTGGCTTCAGAGTATGAGTCTCAACCCTAAGGTTGTAGGTTTGATCTCCGGCCAATCTCTTCAATCCAATGGTCTTTCTTCCTATGTATTTAACATTTGCTCAAACGGTGAAGGAAACCATCATGATGAAACCAGCTTGGCTTAGACCCAAAAAGACGACAGTGTGTGTCAGGCACAGAAGGCTGATCACCTACTTGCCTATTAGATAGTCAAGTGACAATGAAACAGATACAGAAATATGAGGTGGACCTTTAAAGGTTGTTGCGCCAATGATATATTTATGTTTATAATAAAGAAATGCTATGTGAAGTGAAGAAAATACGAATATATAAAAAAATTGCAGAAAATATTTTAAATAGTGCCAATTTGAATGCAAGTCATTCTATACTTATTTTATTACATATGGTAAAAATTGTAGTATAGTTAGTAGTAGTAGTAGTTATAGGTAGTAAACTTAACTTAAACTACTTAAAACTTAAACTAAATTTATATAGGAGCAGTAGTTAGGTACTCTGTAAGTGCATTTTAAATGTAGGTTAATTTATATCTTGAGTTTGACTTAGAAATCACAAAAATCTTTTTATTATAAAATCACCAATTTGATCAACTCGCTATTCGTTCATATTACACTATGTATAAAGCGATATAGCGATATTACATCATAGGTTAACCAAATTAAAGCAAACTCTACTTTTAAATTAATATGTGTTTCTGACAGAAATTAAGACGAAAAACATTTGTAGGACTAGAATATGTTTAGTCGTTGATTATAGACAACTCAATTGATAGTAATAAGTATTAAAAATGTACCTTTCGTCTTTTTGTGTAATTCATCTAAAGTGCCAGGGTTTTCACGTTTGTTTGCATCTTCTAAATTTTTTATATCAGTGCTAGATAAAGCCGAGTTAGAAACACGGTATCGGCTCGCTATGGCACCCATTTTATTAGGAAACTCTGTTTACTTTTCCTGAATTTCACAAAAATCGATGAACATGTGCAATAGAACACAATTTGGTTGAATAAAAGACAAATGACAATCGCAACAAAATTGACAGACGTCATGGCCAACATAATAAACATGCATATAATTGCTATTTACCAACCTTCCAGCAGCGAGATTCCATTCTAAAAAAAAAATTTTCAGCAGCAGGCACTTCTTCCTCAGAGAAAAACCTATAGATATAACTAGACTAGTGCGCATTGTACTAGGTTATACATAGAAACAGAAGTGCTAATTATACCTACATAAAATTTATGTTTTAAATTCTCAACGCCTCTTGATTATATTTAATGGAATGGTTGGTGAGTATAAACTATGAAAAAGTAACCTGATATCCTTTAATCCTATAAGTATTTATAGAAAAACTAATGGGTTTGCTGCGTTGAGAGCAGCATATGCGCAGTAGCAAATAATTCATTAAAATATCCTTTTAAATTACTTTTCATCCCGGTAAATTAAATGGACGTTTTAAAAGAAAGCAGGTTATAGTTATGAGAATATCCTCACCGAGGCTTAGTACTCTTTCCTACATTATTACCGGCAACTACTCAAGTGCCCTTCTACGTTAATAATACAGCAACTGACAATAATATCACAGGCAACGCCAAGGGCGTCGCTAAGGGCGCTTCCAAAATTTCTTTCATTCTCGGGATTATGTTGGTAGCCAAATACTCGGCTTTGATAGAACCCATACTCCAATCTGTAGCTTTGGACGTGGTCAAAGACTCGGAACACGTTAAAAGGATTTTACTTTTAATTAAAAAATAAATCCGGAAAAAGTGACAGACGAAATTATAAAGGAAGCTACTGATGTTGTGGAAAAAGTTGCACTGAAGGAGGACATTACATCAATACCGCGTATTACGGGGAAACAATGTCATAGCAGCAATCATCCAGCAGAAAGCCATTCAGAATACTGGAAGATGTCTTTAGTAATACCATACTTGGTTCAATGATCACCTCCCTTGAAGTACGTTTTGCTGAAGAAAACACGCCATCATTCGCATTATCTAAGTTACACCCGGCGCAGATGCAAATGACGACAACTGAAAATCAGCATGTGCAGTAGAGCGATCTTTTAGCAGCCTCAGAAGACTAAAAACATGGCTAAGAAGCACCATGGCAGAAGATCGTCTATGGTCTGGCCATGATGGGTGTACACAGTGTGTGTAGTTTTGATGATAAAGTGGTTGAAAGTTTTGCAAAAAATCCCCGCAGGTTATGGTAATGGTATATGATGGCGGACAATTGTCAATCGTGGCGCGCAATCGGGGAGTTGTCGGTTTTTTGGACACACTTCAAAGGAATCGTGGCGTAGCGTGGCCAGGGTGTTTACACAATCGGCCATTGTTTAGTTCGTCACCGGCCGCTGGGCGCTGACCGGGATAGTACACTTTTGTGTAAAAAATTGTACAAAATTATATTGTCCTTGTCCTGTTTCGATGAATGGTCAGCATCCACCATCGCCTTTTTCGCCATTTCTTTTTTATAACTTTGTGACGGTACACACTTCTGTAATACTTGTAAACAGTATACAAATAAATAGCCGCAGCCGTAATTACTTCGACGTCCATCGCAAGTGGTTTGCCAGGCAGCAATGAGCCATGCGCCATTGTGTGAACACCAAGTGATCGTGGCCTACAATTGTGCATTGCAAAGCGTGGCTCATCACAGGCCATTGTGTACAGGGGCCTTAGTCAAGATGCCTTAACAGTAGTGTATGTAGAACGTCAAAAACTAAATTTGTATGAAAACTTTTCGACACGAACTGTCATTTCCATACAAATTAAGTTTTCGACTTTCTACATACACTACTGTTAAGGCATCTTGACTAAGGCCCCTGGGGGCTTAAGATTTGACTTAAAGGTCTCGGTACCTTAGTCAAGATGTCTTAACAGTAGTGTATGTAAAATGACAGTTCGTGTCGACAAATTTTTATACAAATTTAGTTTTCGACTTACATACACTACTGCTAAGGCATTTTGACTAAGGCCGTAGGGCGTAGACTTAAATGTCGAATTCGGCTTTACAGTCAATGAGACAATTGTCATTACAAACCTTGAGGATTCAAGAAAATAAATATTAAATAAATATCAAATAGGAATACTTACTTTAATACTGTGGTCTGTGATACGACGACGGACGATCGCCAATCGCCATCGCGGCAATCACCAAACAAATTTCACACATCCACATTATTATGATAAAATAAGCCATACAGCAAGAAAATGCCTAAAGTGGTTTCCAGGAGTATTGTTTGTTCTGACACAAAAGACCAAGAAGAATACAATGAAACAAAACCACTGCATATTTACTATTGTTTATGTGGACAAATGTCGCTAATTCTGGATTGTTCATTAGACAGACTACCACTGCGACCAACAGACGGAGCCCGAGTCATTGATGGTTCAAAACACGCTCATAAAATCACTTCAGATCCTGATGAAACGATTTATTTAAAACGAGAGAAAGGTATTGAAAGGCAATACAGATTAAAATGTAAGAAGTGTTCTATTCCCATTTATTACAAGCACGATCAAGAAAGTAATGTTGTTTTTATACTAGAGGGTGCATTAGTGCAGACTGTGGGTGAAGTAACAGACATCTATAAACAAGTGGCTTTAGTTCAACCAAAGAAAATTATGGTTACAAAACATACTAAGAATATGGGTAAATTCAGTTCGGTGACAGTTTCAACTATAGACGAGGAAGAAGATGAGATAGAAGCAAGAGAAGTGGCTGACAGCTATGCCAATAATGCTAGGATTATTGAAAAACAATTGGAAAGGAAAGGAATGAATAAGAGACAGGCTGAAATGCCATCACAAGGTTCCGGTGAAAAAAGAGTTCGAGGGACTTTGATAGACAAGTAATATTTTATTTATTGTTTGAACATTGCAATTTGTAATAATCATACAATTTTTAACTTATAAATACAGCTCAATCATTTATTTCTACCCCTAACAGGTTTACTAAACCACCACTTCATATAAACAGGGTGATAAAGGTAATAATAAGAACAGAGGTTTTAAATCTTTTTAATCATATGAAAAGAAATACATTTATAATATTTTAATTTACCATGACTGACATAATAAATATTTTCTTTTTAATATTTACAATTGTTCTGGTTCTTGTAAAAATTAGACATGAAGAGAGTTCTTTATATAAACAGACTGTTTTATTAAGTTATAATGTCAATTTATTTATAATAATATAATGTTGCTTTTCTCTGACTCATTAAAATTATGAAGAAAAAAGTTCAAATTATAGTACAATAAACTATAAATAACTTTGCATAGCAAGCAACTTTGCAAGATTTATAACACAGGGAAGACAGTGAATATGACTACAATCAAATAGTAAAAAAAAGTGTTCTAAGTTTTAACATGTTGTAACTTAGTGGTACAATAACATTTAGATTTTCACATAATCAGTTCAACTTTTAAAATATTATCTTAAATTAAACAAAGCATTTTTTATGGAAGTATTTTAATAGCCAAAGTTCAAAAAAATGGTTAAAACAATTTAATTATTTTAAGATTTTATACATATATAATTTTATACAGGTAATAAAAAAATTTAACACCAATTGTTATAACACTGATTATGAAGTTTTAAATCTTAACCCTATAGGAATGTGATTTATGGTAAAATGGGTAAGATTTTATAACACTTTATTCATTTATAATTTTCAATGTCTCAGAAGGGCACTTATAAGGGTAATCCCTAAGACTATAATATGTAACTGGCAACACCAACTATTATGGACTCTCCAAAGTGTTTCATGCACATTAATTCTTTTTGGTGTCGCAAGTACAATTTTGAATATTCTTGTCAAACTGGATCATGTTCTTTTTACATTTAAATACAATAGAATGCTATATTGATGCCACTTAAATTAATATTAATTTCTACTGTCTTTCATATTTTTACAAGCCAAATCTTATGGGTATTTATTGACAGTAAAGTAAGTTTAAAATTCTGAAGAACTTTAAGCATTTAAAACATATTTTTGTTTAATTTATAAGTAGGCAGTTTTAGAAGGTATCATTTTTTATTTCTGCTGACCATATAAACATTTTTATCTTAGTATAGTTAAATTTCTAACAAAATAAAAAAAAACCAAAAGGAAGAATCATTATGAAGGATTGTTTAATATCATATAAAAAGAACTATAAAATTTATTTAAAGTCTTCAAGTTTTGTATTGTCATTCGACTTTTGAATTAGAATATGGATTAGGAGTAGATAAAAAATAAATCAAAATTTCTAGCAACACTACTTTCAGTCTGACAATATCAAGGGAAAATCAATTTTGATATTATAGATCAGGCCAAACAATTTAATACCTAGCTAATATTTAATACTGTTATATCATATTTAAATTAACTGTATATTTTTGAATTTTACGCAAATTTTAAATCTACCAATAGAAATTTAAAAAATCAAAATATTTATATAGAATTTGCAACTCAGTAATTTTTAGCATTGGTCTACTGGAATTTACTAACATTGATAGTAATGTTCAGTTCTTACAACAGCATCAGAGTCTATTCTATTAAGAACAGAAACTGAATAAGATACTCTCAGCTAACTTTATTTACAATTTAATTGCAAATTCTAAGTCTGTCAAATTTCAAAACAAAATCCTGCTAAGTTCATACATACATCTATTTAACCTTTACTATATTATCATTTTAATCTCTACGAATCTCACTTTATACTGTTGACACAGTTACCTAGTACCTAATTTGTTCCGCCTGGTCGAGTCAAACAAATTCATCGAAAAGTCTAAGAGTAAATTAACGAAAATTTGAGCATGACCACCTAGTGTATATATGTAAAATATTCACAAGGTCTAGTTTAGACGAGCACAGGCTTCCGTTTTCGCTTGGTCCTGTGGTGTTTGGCACTAGGCCGAGTGTCAGTCGGTGCTATAACCGCTTGAGTGGTGGTGCCGCGGGCTGGTGAAAAGGATGGTATTGACGAGCTAGGATGTCGCCCTATAACAGTCCAAATGTCCCCCTATACATTCATTACGCCGTCAAAAGAACGATAAACATAATATTGTATATTCAGTGATACTTACAACTTGTGGTTGGTTTTGGGCGAGTTTTATATTCCTCTCTTGTATCATTAACTGGTGGGCTGCCCTACAATCGAAAGAGAAAATAAGTATTAGAGATACTTCAGATTATTTATAAACTTGCTGAGTCGTCATGTGCCAGTGCATTTTTTATTACCTGTTATATTTCATACAATTTTAGCGGGGCACAGAACTTCTGGATCGTGCACAAATAGGTACCTACTTAGATAAACCTTCCTAATGCCATAAACTTCTGATTATAACGCATATTAAAGTTTCCTCCAACTTACAAATAAATTTTAAAATTTTAAATTACTTATCAACTTTAAAATAATCTGGTACCTGTCCATCTGTTCTTGTGTCATATCCAACGCTTCTTGCATCTCCCTAGATGTATTCCTTACAAATTCTGGATCGCAATATTCTCCAAGTCCTTGTTCTGTTAAAACCTGTTTAAATTTACAATTAGTTTTATTGAAATTACGTAAACGGAATTTTAGTTTCAAAGATGTGTCCTTATCTTAAACTAGGTCCATATTCAGGAGAAATTATATATCACTTCACGCGATAGAATAAAGAAACGGTACTGATAGTTTAAAAAGTCAACATAGAGACACAATGACATCAATCTAATGGGGGTTCTATATATATATATTATAGATCCATTGAATCGACGACGGACTTTAAAATTTTTCCAACAACTTATTTTTTCAAACGTTTGCAATTATTCAGATATATTATTATTTATGTAGGCACTGTAATAGAGTTTTCACTGTCAATCAATGAAATCGTCGTAGAAATTGCAATGATTTTATCTTACCCTAGTTACAAGGCTTTCTGCAGACCCCACAACTGGTACTGATGAACTATTGCGAGGGCTGCCTGGTAGAGACATCACACCACGCCCAGCACTATCTCCGCCTGTTATTTAGATAAGCTTATATTTCCGTTTTTTATATTCTTAGGATTCTTTATCTGCAATGTCCGTTTTTAATTGTTCTTATTTCGGAAGTTTTTCCTTCAATATTTGTGTTAGATAACTACAACACTTTTATTTAATTCATAATTATTTTAGGTAATGTTTCTAAATTAACTTAAGTTTAATGCAAATCTAAATCTAGCAACTATTCTTCTATGTATGAAGCATATAAGCTAGTCCTAAATATTCTATAATAAAGCAGTGAAGGTATACGCAATGATTACCTAACATTTAATTTATCGTCCTCATGAGATTTATTATCGTGCATTAAGCATGATAGTTCTAATAACTATCTATTCTAAACAGTTTTTCATAAAGGTTAGTTTACGTGCTATGTAGGTACCCTGTTAAAATTTAAAATGACTGTGACTACTTATTTATAATGTTATGACATATTTTGTTAAGTTAGTGTGCTTAAATGCGTGTGAAAATATTTTTAATGTGAAAATTATGTTTTTTGCAAAGCCATGTATGTGTTAATACAGTTTCGACACGTCGTATCGTTAAATGTTCCTGAATTTGTCAAAACCCATCGAACTCCTGTAAGCTTGAATATAAAATTAGTGCGTGTTGATGAAAAGCATAGAAAGTTTCCTTCGTTTAATATACAATTTTCTTACCCAGAACATTTAAAGAATTACTAAACAAAATACTAGAGTTATAAGACACATTAGATAAACGTTCTGCCGGACACGTCGAGAAAACCATAAATTCTAAAAAGGATATTTTTCTTAAGAAGTTACAAATATAAGAAAAGTATGTATTGGCAAAAGAAAGATTATTTGATAGAGTTGGAATTTTAGTAATCAAATTCATAGTAAAAAGGTCTAGAAGTTATTTGAAAAAGGAAACTTCCTACAAGGTGCGGACCTGGCGAATGCGGGCGATCTACATGACGCGTGTGCTGCGCATGCGTGGCAGCGCCCGAAGACGCGCTGCGCACCATCCGACCTGCCGCCATTGGCCGAATTGTTCGGAGACTTCTCCTCTCTCCTCCTCTACTAGCCCGCTGCTGCTGCATGCACGGGGCATGTGAAAACGCAAACGGCAGTTTTGCTGCTGCATTGTAGCCGTACAGAGTCATTGTCTTCGACTCTAAAGCGGGCGTTATCTCCCCTGCGAGTAACGGAGAAATCTTTGGCTGTATCGTATCCGTTATAGGGGAGGGTGTTTTATCTTCGGGCGACGCTTTCCGTGGTATCGTAAGTTTTTCTATAGATGCGTTGTCTTCTGGGTGAACCTTTTGTCGATTGTTAGGTGCTTTGCTTGATTCCGGGGTCGACAGGTAATTGACGCAGCCAAACGCCAGCCCGATCTGTCCCAGCATTTCTGGATAGTTTGACCGCTGATTGCTGTCCGTCCAAAGGAAAGCGTGTGTAAGAAAGTGTTATGTGTTATTCACACGATGCAAGTTAGTGCTAAAACATTATAACTACAGAGTTCACTCGAAAAATCACACGTTTTAGCTACCTTGATAAATAGCGTTCTTAAGATTGTTTGTTGTTCTTCTGCAATAATAAGCGATGTTTCTATGAGTTTCTTTGAGTTTTTAAAAATATTAGAATGTTACATTCCCGATTAATAAATGTTTTGTTACTTACTCTAACACCTGATAAATCTTTTCTGACTCCCCATTGAGTATCAGCGGACGCATTGGTATGTGTTCCTTGGGTTGCCCATTTGCTCTACAGATTTAAAGTGATTATTATTACCTGAATAACTTATGAAACTATAAATAATGTTTTATCGATGTTAATACTTACAAGTTTGGCGTTAAAGGCAGAGGACCAACTCCATATTCCTTTT